GCGAATTAGCGTGAGCGAGGGAGAGAAGAAGGTCAGGGACAACCACGTCTCGCTGAACGTTGATTTTATTTTTATTTCTGTACATGACCATTCCAATTATCCGTGATTCATCGAATAAATTGTTGTGTGTCACCCATCAGATCTCAATGTGTATCACTGTATCCAATCGCATATGTACCCGAGGAACGAGACTCGACACGATAAACAACGCTTTGTCTTACTCATCGTGAGTGAATCATGCTCCTAAAAAAAAAAAAAAAAAAAAAATTGAGGATGAGAAGATCACGTTCATCTTTATCTTGGTCCACGAGTCTCGTACCTCGAAAAAAGAAACACGAGTCACTAAAGTCCGGGGGAGATGAATCTGCAATCGTTCGACTATATAGAAACGAAACTCTTGCTTGCAACACATGAATAATTCAATGCAACCAATAAATCCAGCCGAATACAGAAACAACACATCGACGACTTGTTGTAAAAGCCAGCGAAGAAAAACGAGCAAACGAAACCCTGTACATTTCCACCGGCGAGTCTGTCACTTCGACCGAGCACCACAACGATTGTACGATCAACCGCACCGAATTTTATTTAATCGCTCGACACCGCCGTTCACCGCGTGAACTCGTTCAAAAACAGAAAGAAATAAAATATCGCGCTACCTTCGCGACGTTCAACTTCGTTGAAGAGTCAAACGTGTCCAGTTCAAGCGCGGCTGCACTTCGATCGGACCAACACTCGGCGGTTGTGTGAAAAACAAACCGATGCAGCCCGATCGAAGGCAGCCAACTGTCAACCACCACGTTGATCACCAATCAATTGAAAACTTGGTCACAAAGTCACGTCTCACTGCCACTCGAGTCCCACTTGAATTGCTTTGTTGCGAAAAAAAAGCTCGTGACACCAAAAAAAAAAAAAAAAAAAAAAAAAAAAGAAAAAGAAGGTAGATCGTTGCAGAAGATCGCGGTATCCAGAGAAAGAGGTTTCGTCTCCGGCTTCCAGTGGATGACTATTAAGGCTAGACTAGAAGCTTGGGGTAGAGGTGTGCGTAGTGGCGTCAGGCCACGAGTTTCCCCACCACGATTCGGTCGGGAAAGTAGCCGAGGTGCATGCATCACCCCCTCTACGACCGGTCGTGCTCGGCTTTTTCATTTCGAGTGGGAAATTGTGCGTGCGACCGCCGCCTCCGTCACCTCCTTCTTCCTTTAGAATAATGACCCGCCGCAGCCAGGTTATTAGCGAGCTTGGAATGCTAGACGGAGAGGCTTCCGCGTTGCACCTTGTGCGCCTCCCGTCTGCCACCTCAAAAGACAGAGACAAAGATGAGGACGATGTTTGGTCGGCACGGTGGGAGAGATTTATGGAATCTCCTCTTTCGAGACGAGAATTTTTCCGATAGAAATTTGTCGATGAAAGAGATTTTTCGATATTAAATCTGTTACGAATACTAATCCGACAGTTTATGTTGTTTATGTTACAGAAAAAACATATTTATAAATATTATTATTATTATTACGTAGATCTATTATTTACTATATAATAGTTAATGATTCGAAGAAAACTATTAAAAGTATTATAAATATTGAAAATGTCGATGGTAATTGGGAATTCATAAAATGATGAACAGATTAGGGTCGAAGTGATGATGAATGGAATTTTGAAACTGTGGCCTGAGAATTTGAAACAGGAGATACATTGACTTAGGGAGGTAATTAATATATCAACAGTTTGAAGAACATTGTTAAATATTAAAACTACCGAGATTAGCAGAAATTTTTAAATGATAATAATCAAAGTTTAAAAATTTAACTTTCTATCTGTATTCTTTAAACATTCAATAACTTACTATAGATTTGACTTGAAAAATGTCACTTATCATTCCAATTTCAATAAAATTTCGTGAAAGAAAAATTTGGACAGATATTGATTGATAGATCAATAGGAAACATAAATTAACTTATATCTTCTATTTATATTACATTTCACTCGTCTATCAGTATTTTTAGAATTACTTTCTCTGTTTATTTCTGTTGAATAGAAGCTTACAGAGCTGCAGTCACGTTTGTTATGACTAATCCGCTCGACAAAAGAATTCATTTTCTCTCCAATCCGTCTTGATTCATTCCGCGGGAGGTTCGCGATTAACTGAAGCGATTTAAAAATATTCTCGAAGAAGAAACAAAGAAAACATCGGTACCGTTTGGAAAAGTTTCGCTTTGGATCCTCTGGCTGACCAATGACGAATCGTCTGTTTCTCGTCACGGTTAAAAATAAAGTCGCGCGAAGTTTAAGACGAGCGTGTTCCACGCTTTCGTTGATATTGCGCTCGGATGCCTCCCGCCGAGAATGAAAAAAGAGATGGAAAGCAAGCAACTGCCTCCGCGGGAGGCGTTTCAACGTTCGGAAAAGAAATCGGGAAATAACGGTCGCGTTACCGCATGCTCTAAAAAAAAAAAAAAAAAAAAAAGAAAAGAAAAAGAAAAGATTGTAGAAGAAAAATGACCCTCGACGCGGTAACAATTTCGGAGAGGATTCATTGGATCGGAAGGGGATAACGATAAATCGCGTAAAACACGACGGTTACGTAAACGCAACTCGATGTTTACACCGCGGGATCAGGTGTGATTTATTTTTAAAATGAATCGTGCTTCATCGCGATTATTATTTCACGTCCGAATATTAACAATCCGAATAACTTTGGTTTCCGAAGGCCGATCCGCCTGGCGATCTGCCTTGATTCCACCTCGGCGAGGTCGACTTTGGCCCGGCTCCACCGATCGTCCATCCAAAATTGCGAAACATAAATTTTCAAGTGCATTTACACGCGTTCGAGGGGAGAATTTATAAGACCGAGGGATATTGTCGTGAACGTGTCACGCTTTGATTAATTGGACGGATAATTTATCGCGGTTTTATAACGAAAAGGTTTCGAAAGTTCTTCTTTGCTCATTGTTTGTATTATTATTACTTATATTTATATTATTATTATTATTAGCATTGAAATTTCGTTTCCGTGTGTTGAAACACGATGTCGTTCGTTTCCTATGTTTTCCCCACGATCGGACATCAAGACCAAATTTCTCTCTGTCCGTTGTTTGTCACAGTCGCGAGTAATTATTAAAAATATCCTGCCGGTTGGAAGCGTGCTCCCTTGGCACGTTACTGAGGCCTGACACACAAATGACGACATTGTTCGTGAAATCGAGACACAACGAACGATCAGATGGCTGAGGATAAATCACTTCGGACTTGTTTCAACTTCTGCAGACGCGCGATTGTACTTCATTTGAACTTGGACGTAAACCTCGCCGAGTATCGGATTTTGACAGCTGTCGGTTGAAATTGGGGAATATTCGTCTCACGTGTATTTAAATTTAAATATACTTTATGTATGATACTTTTGTTCGCGTATTGTGGCCATGATTTGTTTCCTCGAATATCGAATACGAACAACGCATGATTTATACGAGCACAATCTGTCTGTCTCATTCTATGGGATCAATAGGTTGCATTATTCTCCTGATATTGTTTTGCTTTTAATATATGAACGTATTATTCAATATACTATTTTGCTTTTAATACATGAAGTGCACATCCTTGTGTGCAGATAAGAATTGCGCGTTGGATTAAGTTATAATTCAATATATAATAATTTGTAAAAAGAATGAGTATTTTAACATTGAATGACTTTTATGATATAAGAATTTTTCTGAATCTTCAGTTTCGTTGTTTGGAGTGAATCACATTATATCAAAACATTACGATACCGTAATTTGACTTTGGCAGAATGTTATATTGCATTCGCGCAACGTTATCTGTTATCTAAATTTTGTAATCGTAAAAAATTCTCAACAGCGCGACAAATTTATTTGAATTGCTCTAAAAAGTTTAACAAGTGCCGGTACTATCGACGACAAAGCATGTTAATTATATATACTCTGACAGCATATTCTTTCTATTTCATTTCGTAATTTTCGTCGATTAAGCCACATCCATCAACTCCATAAATTAAAAAGCAAACAAGTATAACGATTTATTGTCAGCGCCCTGGGATTGAAATTCTTCCAATAAATAAACTCAGTGGAAGCATGTAATATTTTTAAAAAACTGCACACTGACCATGCGTGCAAAAAAATAAAATAAAATAAAATAAAATAAAATTGATCAATCTTGAATTGATCAAGTGTTCCGCAAAGCGTTTGCACTCGCTACGTAAGCCATTTGTTTACGAACAGATTTCAGAAACATGGAATTCCAAATGCCTCTACTAATGTCAAACACCTACTAAATAACAATAACAAAGCAATCGTGTCCAAAAATAAATTATTCCACAGCTACCGCCGCTACGATAATTTAGCATGCATTAATATATTGCTACCACTCACCAACCGCGCATCGTCCCGCGTCACCAGCTGCCAGCTTGTTTTTAGCATGATTCGGAGTCTTCCTTCCGTGTGAACGATGATTCAACGATGCTGCCCTGAAACCGGAATTTAAAATTACACCGTGCGCACGTGTACCATTGCAGAGAGGAAAGGGGCGTATTACGAAGTGCCTGCAGAGACGGGACCAGGCGCGAAACCATCGACAGACAAAGGCAAGGACATTGTCCTTGAACCGTTGACCTTAGACGAGAATGGATTGCCGCTCGAAATACCCTTGCAACCGGGGGACGAATCGTTGCCCTGGAGAAAGGGGCGAGTTCATCATCGACCTCGACTCGGCGACGCGACGCCGTGGCGAAAATCGAGACCGAAATCTCGCGACACGTCCTTGGACAAATTACAAGCGACAGAGTCACAGGTGAAACCCTGGACGGAGGAAGCTGTAGTTTTGAAGAAAACACCGCAGATAACACCTCGGGAGACAACGAAAGAGAAACTGGAGGGAGTTGAACTGAAACCGGCGAGAATCGAGAAGAAAGACATTGGAAAGGTTAGTTTGGAAACTGTGGACTTGAAGCACGTTACGAAGAAAGAAGTAACGAAAGACTTGACGACTGAGGAGAAGGTTTCTCGACTGGACGAAACTACGGCAGAGACTTACGTGGAGGAAGAGGACTCCAGATTCATCAAAACCACGAAGAAAGTGGACGAGATCGCGAAGAAGAAAGAGGAGCCTAAACCTTGGACAGAAGAGAAAGTTGCATTGAAGAAAGCGAAACCTGATAGAAGAGAGATCCCCAGAGAGACGATAGAACCCGTGGAATTGAAACCTTCGAGGATTGTTAAGAAGGACGTCGAGAAGGTTACTTTGGAAAAGGTGGATCTGAAATCAGTTCCTACGACCGTGACTGAGAGAATCACGGAAGAAACTACTTCGAAGACTGAATATGTTGAACAGGAAGACACGTCAATGTTAGACGTGTCTAAGACTGAAGAGATTAGAAAACTGACAAAAGAGAAGATCGAAGAGAAGGTAGAACAAGCGAAACCATGGACCGAAGAGAAGATCACGTTGAAAAAATCGAAACCTATAAGGAAGGAAGTTGAGAAAGAGACTATAGAGACTGTGGAACTGAGACCATCGAAAACAGAGAAGCTTCCAGTTCGAAAGCCAAGTTTAGAGAAGGTGGACTTGAAACCTGTTCCGACGACTGTGACTGAGAGAATCACGGAAGAAGCTATTTCGAAGACTGAGTATGTTGAACAGGAAGACACGTCAATGTTG